TGCACAGAATACTCACCAGCGAGCCACCGGACAAGGCGGGTTGCAGGAGTCTGGTCAATTTGCTATCCCGGTAAGGCAAATGTCTCCCATCGCGGTCCGTGGGGTTGCCTTGCTTATCCTTGTTTTCCGAGAGCCGAGAGATGATGGTGCCCAGAGTGAGCAAACTTTTGTTAATGTGAGCTCCTTCTGTGCGGCGTTCCTTATCCTCAGCTGCACGTTCCGAGCCAGCCAGATCAATCAGACTTAAGGTTGACACCCGCACACCACCCGGGGCGATCCCGGAGCGCTTATCGTGAGAGCTGCCGGAAGGCACTCGCTCTCGACTCTCAACCACGATTTGCACCACCGCGTGACTTCGAGAACTGCGCGCATTGAACTGTGTGCTGCTCGTTCGTCGTGCATGGTCACCTCGGGCGATAACACGGAGTAATTGTGTCGGACTCTGGACGATCTCTTCCTTGAGCGGCGTTGCATATACTCCTCGTTTGCTGTCCTCTCTCAGTTTGATTTCCTCCTGCTGGGCTCCCGCGGGGGCATTGGCAGCGGAGGCGGAAAGGAGGTCATTAATCTTCTCGTTGTAAATTTCCAGATAGCTGACCCGCAGCAAGAATTCCCGATGTGGGGTTTCTCTGATAAAGGAAAAGATGTCGGTGATCGCGAGCGGGATTACACCGGGGGAAGTTGCCGTTCCCTGCATCGAGAAGGTCTTTCCAGTGCCCGTCATACCATATGCAAAGACCGTTCCATGATAACCCTCCATGACACGCCGAACAAGACGTTTGGCAGCCGAATCATAAACCTTGGCGTTGTTTTCTTGTGGATTAAAGACATTATCTGCGCAAGGGTTAGTTACGTGGGTTAAGTGAGTCAAGGCGGTATTAGTATCATTCTCACCATAAAAGTAATCGCCTCCTTCTTTCCCACGGTATGAGATGAGGCTTTGCCGGCTATCGACGGACCATTCGCCATGATTTCGGGGAGTCTCTCCTCCACTGTTGTTGTCAGGACGAACGCGCACGCTGACAAGTACATTGCCTTTGAGCTCCTTTGGCTTCGAGCTTGATCTTCCCGTCGCATCATCTGCGTCCTCAAAAGTTGTCGCACTCGTTGAGCAAGATCCCTGGGCAGAAGAGCTTCTACTGTGGGTTGGAGACGCCTCTGGGTCTCGCGCATCTCCACTTGATATGAATTTCCCCTCTCCACTACCGTGGAGTAATGATGGAGTTTTCGAGCTCCGATAGCTGCTCGTGGTTCCTGTGCTCAGTCGCGAGCTTCTCTGGGGTCGCACACTGGAAGTAGCCCCTTGGATGCCAGAGAGCGATGATGCAGTGGACGGACGGCTGCTGGCCTTTGGTGGTTGAGGGAATGAGGCGATACTGATTGTTCGGCGCAAAGATTTGTCGGGGCTACCAGGAGCGCGCCCACCGGAGGCTGACCGGGTCAAATTTAGGTTGGAGGTTGAGTTTGAAGTTGATAGAGGTGACTTGAGGGATGGTTTGGGGCTGGATGGGGTCCGTAGTTTGGAAGTTTGGTAGGGGGATGCGGCCCGTGGCGTGTCGGAACCCGTGGACTTTCTGGGTTTAGGGTTGGGGAGGGGAGGTAATGATCCAGCTGGTGGGTTTGGAACTCGCGACAGCGACTGGGGTAATGTTGACATTGAGGTCATGGCGACTTGGTATCTCTTAATGAGATGAATAGATTTAAGAAGTGAACGCGATGGCCATGCGGGCGGATTGTGAGCCTGTCATGTTTTTTTTCCTAAATTAGCCAAATGAGACCTGAGGATTTGGGGGCCCTTGACTAGGAGATAAAACAATTCAACTCTGCATTTTTCGCCAGTCGGATGTCAAAATGTACACGATAACACGGGATGTGATGTTATGTTGTGATTGTCTCGGGTACTCACCGATTCAAACGCGCAATGTTGCAATCACCGAATGGGAGGGATGGAAAGCCAAAGGGAAAGATAAGAGTAGGAAGGTAAAAGAGAGACAGAGAGAGAGAGAGGAGGCAAAAGATGTAAAGAGTCAAGATGAGAGAAGAGGGAAAAAAAGGTATCTAATCCCCGCAGAGAGTCGGGGCCAGACCTATTTGATTATAACTTATGTTATAACTAACTAGGTTAGTTAGCCTTGGAACGTATTATTACTTATGTTATGGTTATATAGTTATATGTACCTAACATATATATATATATATACCCTTATTTATATATTTAATGCCTATATATGTTCCTTCTCTCCTATCTCCTCTTCTCCTCTCCTCTCCTTCTCTCCTTATGTTAATCCCCCCTAGACTTGGTATAGCCTTCTCCCATATAAATCCTGTATAAAGTAGAACCGAAGTATAAAAAAAAAGGGGGGAGAACTAAATACACCTTAAATCGCAGGGGAAATTCCCTGGGAAGCTCGGGGCATCTTCCAATAATGATAGGCTCAAGTGGAGGTTTCAGGTTCGGAAGGAAAAAGGGGGCGAATGAGATGTTTAAGCCTGATCCTTTTTTTAGGTGGGGCCCAATCTGATTATTTCAACCTCCAATAAGTAGCCAGACGATACTGAATGGGGAGAACCTGTGTCCTGTTGCCCTGAAGGGTTGAAGGAGTATCGGTAGTTCGAGGTAGTTTGAGGTAACTCTCCCTATAAAAGGTGAAGCTTGGGATGAACTCCTGTTCGAGAAAGCCAAAAAGATAACGGCTATTGTTCCAATCTAGCAAAGATTGACCTTGAAGCCCAAAAAGTAAAATTAATCGGGCGTTGATCCTCATTTACGTCCCGTTATGCTGTGATATAACATCTACATCTCAACCTCGATACATCCATACATCTATATTATACAAACTACAAAATATAGATAGAGTACCAAAGTATACATTTGTTATTTGGAGAACCTCAGTTTCTGTTTCAAATCTCTCTGGAAGCGAGGAATATATCTAGGGCATGCAAGGGAGCTTATATTCAGACAGGCTCTTATATGGCCTGTAGCCCCAATTTCATTGGACAGTGCGAACAGTGCAACATGACAGATTGATGATCGTGGGGAGGGTAGTCCATAGCTTTCCTCCGACTGGATGATTCTCTCTCCACTCTCAAAGCCGTCATTATATTGACTGGGTTGACAATCCAGTAGTTGCCGCAGACGCCAATGCCATGCATATCTAGTGTCTCAACTAAGGTTGGCACAGCATTAATAATACCATTATTACCGTGCTCTGGCTTGTTTTTCTTTGTTCTTTGTTCTTTGTTCCATATTGTATATTGTATATTGTCTTGATTGTGTCATTATTTCATACCGAAATCCAGTTGCCGGGCAGCGCTTTTAAACATGCCCTCATCCACCTCGCCACCACGTCGCGTCAAATCATCTCCCATCTTTTTAGTCCCACCAGATTTCCGGGGGAGATCTTCATTCTTGGTCGGATGGGGCTCAATCGTCCACCAGTTGTGTCGTAAACACTGGACAGCCGTACTGCGCTTGCGTGGATCAAGCGCACACATCGACATCAGCAGATCGGCGCCCACTGGACCTGCAGTGGGGAACTGTCGCATGAAGAAATCGCGCCCTTGCAACGGCACCAAATGGGCCTTGTCGGTAGCAATGTAGTAAGGCAACTTGCTGACCCCGGGCCAATTCTCCTCCGTTGGTGTGCCGAATGCCTCGCAGATTTTGGAGGTTTGGTCCAGGTCGGTGTTGCCCGCCACGAATGGAACCCGGATCAGGAGCTCGGCAAAGACCATCCCCATGGACCAAACATCAACCGCCCCGGAGTATTGTCGCGCACCGTAGAGAAGCTCGGGTGGCCGATACCACCGAGTGATGACCTGATGGGTCATGTTAAACAACGGATCGGCGAAGGATCTGGCGAGACCGAAATCGGCCAATTTGACCTCCCCGTCTGCCGCGATCAACAAGTTGTTGGGCTTGATATCCCGGTGGAGAACAAAGTTCTCATGGCACCACCATACACCTCGGGCAAGCATCCCCATCCAAGCTTTGATATCGGCCACACCGTAGTGAATATCATTATCTTTGATAAGCATCTCAAGATCTCCACCGGGAAGAAACTCAAGAACCAAGCTTAGATTTTGATCTTTGGAGGAGAAAACATCGTGGAGCGCAATGACGTTGGGATGTTTCAGCTCTTGAAGGTACTTCACTTCACGAACCGCATCCATAGCAAGTCCATCCTTGTATTCGGCATTGACTTTGATCTTCTTGATCGCGACGAGGGATGATGGATCGTGTCGGAGGTGGCCAACATATACAACGGCATATGTACCTTCACCTACTTTCTTGTCTGGTTCTCTGTCAGCATAACGGTCCTTAGAACCCCCCCCCCCCCCCCCCCAAAAAAAACAATATAACAGATGTTCTCAAATACCTTTGACGTATCGTTCCCGGACATCAATATTCAATTGTTCGGTGAGTTCGCGATCCCCATTCTGCACAGGCTTTGACGCAGCTGCAGCTGCTGGTCCAGTAAGTGAGTTCTGTGCAGCAGTAGCTCTCAGTCTGATTGCTGTATTGGGAGAATGCACAGTCATGGATGGCGAACGAGAGCCAAAGGGTGAGAGGGCCATGATTAAAGTGGTTTGAAGCAAAAGGTCGAACCTTAGGGAGCGACAAGAAATTAAAAGGAAAAAAAGACAGCCACAGACAATTCGGTGGCCACTGTAGATGTTAAGAGATCATTTTTAGCATGTCTTTCGAGGTGAAGGGAGTAGTATCGAAATATGAAGGTGGATGTCACTACCCCCAAGATAGACCCGGAGTATTGTTGATCCTGGACTTTGCTGGCGACTCCCGAAATTTCTCCAAGTCAGTCAACAGTGACCCCCCGGCCAATTCCTCGGCAACTGCTGGAACTCTGTCAATTGCAAAGGCATTGCTCAACGGTTCACCTCATCGACACTACTACAAAGTCGATTTCCCGAGGGAAAAAAAGCACGGGAATTACTAGCAAAATCGGAGCGTGCGGCATTCTACCCGCAACACCTTCACCATGAGCCTCATGGCAATGCGCAATTCACCGCTGGGCTTGGCAACACGTCTGTTCAAGCCTGTATCCATTTCCAACCAATATATCCGATCACTCCACAAGAACGCGCCCCCGCCCGTGCCATCTCCGACCCCTTTCGTTCCTGATGTCCAGACCTTCCTCACGCTGATTGGCCGCGAAATGTCCAAGCAAGCGAGCAAAATTCCCTCATGGCAAGACCTTTTTACCTTAAACTCCAACCAGCTCCGCCAAGCCGGCATTGAGCCAGCCCGCCAGCGTCGGTACCTGATCCGGAAGCGCGAGAAGTTCAGGAACGGACTGTACGGCCCTGGAGGTGACCTGGAGACTGTGGTCGATGGGGTTGCACAATTGCGGGTTGTTGAAGTGCCTCTTAATGCCAGAGGCCTGACACATGGAGGCACACAAGCTGCCGTTCAAACCTCTTCCGCTACACTGTCACCTGGCATGGTGAAAGCCATTGTTAACCTCGCACCTGATGTCACCACTTATCATTATGGCAAAAATCAACTGATCAAGAAATTTGCGCACATGAAGATTCATCGTGGCTGCCAGCCTATGGGTCCGTTCCTTCAGCCTTTGAAGGGTTCCAATGGTACTGCTGCTACCATTTCGGTCCAGGAGGGCATGTGGGAGGACAAGCGGGGACAGAAGGTTGATGGTGGTGAACGACGACGCCGGGAGGTTCAGAACAAGAAGAGGCTGGATGAGAGAAAGAAGGCGTGAATGTGAACGGTGAAATACCACTTTTGTGTATCTTGCATATTTGTTGTTGAGCCTGGATGTTCAAATTTGAACTGTATTATACTATTGCTATACTATTGCAATCATGATTTCTATTTTTTTTTCTTTCCCATATTCTTTTGGTCCTTGTGGGAGACAAGTGAAGTGTGCTTATGTTTGATTAAAATACCTAGGTAATATGATTGAGTTATGTAAACATTTAGAGAAACATGCGATTCACAGTCGCAAAAGTAGATATTCATACAGTGAAATCGTTTCAAAGTGAAGAAAGAGAGAAATTCAAGATGCGAGAGCGGTCAAATGCACTTGGTGAACTTGAAGTCCAGTCTGAACCTTTGCTGCATCACAATGCAGGGCATTAAAAATGTGATCAAAAATTTGAATGGGAACCTTTTCTAAAAAAATTAAAACGTAACTCCGATCATGCTTTGGCTCCACGTCTCTCGTACTGAACAAACGATGTACCCAGAGGCTTGGAGAAGAGGGACTAGAGTATGGTTAGTCAAACGCCAAGTTGATCGCAATAGAGCATCACTTACCGAATAATCTGTCTCGGGGAAAGGTGTATCGGTGCTAGGCTGGGAGAACTTGAAATGTCTCACCAGGGCAGCCAAGATTGTGCCCAGCTGCACATAGGCGAACTGCTCACCAATGCAGCGATGGCGACCAGCACCGAAAGGCAGATAGGGACTGTTGGTGCCCTTGGTAACCAGGCCATAGCCATAATCGATCTGCTCCTCATCTTCCTCCTTGGTAGTCTCGGTTCCAGCCTCATCCCAGCGGTGGGGGTTCCACTTCAGGGGCTCGGGGAAGAACTCCGGAGAGCGAGCAGTGACACCGGGAGAAGAGAGGACGTTGTGAGTGGTAGGGATGACATAAGAAGTGCCTTCCACAGGCATGGGGTTCTTGACAGCGCGAATGATCGAGTGGATAGGAGCGTGGATACGGAGGGTTTCCTTGATCACCTTGGCGTGTAAGTCGAGCTTCTGGAGTCCTTCATGGGTGAGAGGAGGCAGGTCAGAGCCCAGAATCTGGAGTTGCTCTTGGTAAAGCTCCTCCACAATCTCAGGGCAGGTGGCCAGGCGCAGAACAATCCAGGCAGCAGTGGAAGACGAAGAGTGCTGGCCTGCCATAAGCAACGCAATCATCATGTGGGCAATTTCTTCGTCGGGAATCGGAGTGCCATTCTTGTAAGTGCACGACATCAAGTTCCAGACCATGTCCTCGGAGTCCTTCTTGTCACCAGATGTGCGGCGCGCCTTAATGATATCCATGTAGGTCTCGGTCATCTTCTTCTGTGCAGCATCGCGCTTGCGGTTGTGGGGGAGCGGGGCCCATGGCAGCATGAAGTTGATGGGAGCGAAACCCTTATCGAGGTCGTGGTACATTTCCGCAAAAGTCGAGTCAAATCGATCACGGACTTCCTGTCCTTGCAACGAGCGGGATGCTGTGTAGATTGTGATTTCGGCAATGACCTTGGAAACGTTGAAAGTGCCCTTGGGGTCCTGGAGAGCGGGGGAATTCTTCACGAAGTCATCGACCTCATTGGTGATCAAGTGAACATAAGAGCGAAGTGCCTCGGAAGTAAGACCGAATTTGACAAACTATGCATCGGTCAGCAGCCGGGGGCTTTGTGTTTGGAATCCATTCCTTCGTACCTTCTTCTGCTCCATGAGCTTAGCATTGGGGCAATCGTAGACGACGTGACGACCGAAGACGGGGGTAGTGAGGGGGGAGTAAACCTCTTCGGCGTTCACATCACGAAGCTTGCCATTGAGGATGAACTCGTTTCCCTTGGTGCCTAGGTAGACGGTGGTTTTCTTGCCGAGGAGAACGAAAGTGAAGATGTCACCATACTGCCAGCGATTAACCACCAAATTAGCAATTGAATCCTTCCATGGGCCAGCCACCCATCTGCGAATCGACATACCTTTGCGCGACTCTGGTTGAAGAAGGTGTATGGGTCCATGCCATAGCTGATGGTGCTTCCGACAAAGGGGAACCAGTGGAAGACGACGGGGGGCTCATGGGCTTTCTTGAAGAAGAGCTGGCGCAACACATTGATCACGACCGCTAGCGCAATGAATGACAGTGCTCCGACACTAGCCAAAGTGTAGCTTGACTGGGTTGAGCAATGCTCGCAGAAGGTTGCGAGGAAACTTGCGAAGAGGCCCATGTTGTCCAGAAGCCAAAGGAGAGAGGTGAAAGAAGAAAAGAAAAACCGAGAAAGAAAAGGGGTTCGCGATGACCCTATAACCCTATTTGTTAAGCCTCCAATTGAATTCAAAAGAGGGGGAGAAAAAGAGAGTGAAGATCAAGGAGGCGAAGGAGCCATGGAGGAAAATAATTAAGTCCGATATCATTCGGCGAGAGAGAGACCCGCCCCTTTACGGAGTGTATAGTAGTAATGGTCTAGAAGAGATGGGCCAACCATTTAATTTGCATATCGTAAGTTCTGTTATTCTTTGATTCTTTTACTCTATTCTATTTCGGGTCTCCATTTTATGGATTGATCTTTATTTCGCTCGGTTGTAATCATCGTATAGTATGATGATATCACGCCACTCCGGTCAAGGGATTCCCGCTCCGTAGATGGCTATGTGTATAACTACATCTACACTATACTCTCTCTGTACAACATACTGGTACATGTATCATTTCCCTGTTCTAACCTAATACATAAAATCCCCCCCTTTTGAACACCCTAATGATATTCCCACACGCAAGTCAATAAGAATAATCCAAAAGTCGTACAAAGCCACAATACCCCTTAATTGTCGTACAAGGTAGGATCACCACGCTCCCCAATGTTAATGAAATCTTTCGGGTCCCGATTACCACTTGGTGAGACTTCACGGTGGGACGCCTTGGCTGGTCGGTTGTGGACACGCTTCCCGGCTTCATTTCGAAATACTTTGACCGGTTTCTCACTGCCTTCGGCGTGCTCGCTGAAGTGAGCATCGTTGATGCTACTCAGCAAGGTCCGCTCCCGTTGAAACTTGCGCTTAGAAAAGTCCAGTTTACCAAGAGCTCCCGTCAGACCATCTGTGCTGTCAGTGACACTCGGGAACTGTCCGGTCATCCAAGGGTGCTCGAGACACTCATCCACCGTGATTCTCTTGTCGACATCCACGGTAAGCATCCGGTCGATTAGGTCTAGAGCGGGATCGCCAACAGAGTCCCAGTACGGTGACGGGTAGTCAAACCTGCCCATCTTGATCTGTTGGGCGAGGGTCAATGGGTTCTCTGGAGTGTTCAGTTCATCTGAGAAGGGCGGGAAGCCACAGAGGCAGATGTAAAGAACAACACCAAGGGACCATACATCCACAGCCTTGGTGTATTTTCGGTGGCGACTATCTTGCAAAATCTCCGGGGCAACGTCTGCGGAATTAGTACCAACAGCCAAGGTTTCGAGGTCCTATACTTTGTGACTTACAGCTCGGTGTACCACAGCTGGAAGCAAATGTTAGCGATCATTTACATGGACACGGACAGGCTTTCACCTACAGGGTTGTCGTGAAAGATTCTTCCCCAATAATTTTAGCCAGGCCAAAGTCACCCAATTTCACGTTCAAATTCCGGTCGGCAACCAGGATATTTTCTGGCTTGATATCTCGATGCACAATTCCTCGTTCGTGCTGATGACACATTAGCTGGCCCAGTACTGTATATGTGGACTTTGGATGTACATACCAGATATTTCAACCCATTAAACAGTTGACGGAACACACCGCGAGTTTCATCCTCGGTCATTTTCTGATTGTTCACAATCCAGTTAAACAGTTCTCCCTCCGGTGCCAATTCGAGTACCAAATAAGCGCCGTCACTTTCATCAAAGGGTTCCTTGAGACACAATAGATTCGGGTGATGAACGCCCATCAACAATGCAATCTCTTGCTGTAGAGCATTGTCGTTCTGGGACTTTTGAGAATCACCGAGACGCCTTTCGAAAACCTTGACTGCATACTTGTCTCCAGTAGATCGTTCAGCACACAGATAGACGGTTGCAAAGTGGCCTTTGCCGAGTTGGTTGAGAATCCGGTATTGCTGACGGAAACCATTCGTTTCCCGTGTACGAGGGTAGCGGAAGACAAAACGAGCTTCGTTTAGAATCGAGACTTCATCGCCATCCTCCAGTTCCCGGTGCTTGTTACGCCCAACAATGGCATCATTAACAAATGTTCCATTGCTAGAGAGATCCTCCAGCACAGCAACCACGTCGCCTTTCTTCTTTTCGGCAAAAATGAGGAAGTGTCGGTTTGAAATTGTGGGAATTTCAAGAACGCGATCTGACTATGGTCAGAACAGACACTCGACGACACATCAAGCTATCACTTACCACACTCAGGATGACGGCCGACCAAGAAGCCACCTGGTGACTTGGCGCTCTTGGATTTTTGGGCTTTTTTCCCCTTGGCTTTGGCAGTACCATCACCGTCATCGCAATCGTCGCGCTTCCTCAACACAAGTGGGCCGTTCCCGTTCTCATCCAATGGTAGCAGGTAGCCCCAGACCCCTTCGGCGTCCTCATCCTTCACATCGTCTGCGAATGCTCTAGGTGGATACACGAACTGGGAAAGCGCTTGGGTATCCTCCAACGCTGGCGGCGAGGAAGTCGCGTGCGACAATTCCGGTTGGGATGAGATTTGTTGATGGGTATCGCGCGGGCTTTCCGGGGGTGTGACAGTCAGTTCATTCCGAGTCTCTGTAGCGACAGACTGAGGACCGGTGATTGGGGTTGGCAAGTAGTCCAAGTCGACTGGCGTGTCTTGTGGTTGGACTTGACTCGAGATTCTTTGAGAGCGTCGAGGTTTCTTTTGCGAATCTGCGTCGACGGTAGCCTATAGTAATCCCTGTAAGCAAATGAATGGCACTAATAGAAGTAAAACGTACCCTTCCTCGCTTGAGCGAGCTTTTCTCACGGGGGGGCATAATACAGGCTGTTAGCACTCTGACTGGAGAGGGTTCCAGACCAATTAGCG